AGAGGGTCAAAAAAAATCCTCCCAAAGCGCCCTTGGGATCCACCAATTTTTTTTTGTGTGTCTTTTGGGGAAGTCAACCCCACCTCCCAGATTCATTATTCCAAAATGGAACCAGCAACAGCTGGGTGAGGTTTAATCTGAAAATCCCCCCCATCCATCGACCCCTGCTATGTGTTTTTAGGGAGAGCTATGGGGCCCCATCCCCCCCGCGGAGAGAACCCAAAATAACAAATCCTTTTTTCTCGGATAAAAAAAAAATTGAATCCCCTTCCGGATAATTTTGGGAGGAATTTACAATTCCTCCCAATTGTTTAAATAAAATTTTTGCCCCCCCCCCCCCCCCCCCCCCCCCCCCCAATCTTCTCCCTTCCCATCAGCTGAGCTTTCTAGTGACAGCAGAGAAATGTGTATTTGGGGTATGGGCTGTTGCGCAGGGACATCAAGTCGCGATTGCAGTCGCCGGCAGTTGCAGATTGATTGTCTCGGTAAATGGACCCGGGGTTGGAAAGACGGAGCAGGCACTGGGCACTGGAAGTAACAGGGGGTGGAGGAGATGAGAGGGGGAGAAGGGGCAGGAGGGCGGGTTTGTTTAATTGAGAGTAGATATGGCAGGATAACAAAAAGGATGGGGTGGTTAACGTCCAACAATATTCAAGGGTGGGAAATTTTTCTGGTTGAATGGATTTTCAAGATTGGTGAACATAAGACCTGGTGTTGAAGGAGTAGATTAAAAGATCAAAGATAGGAGGAGCTGAGCTGAGCAAACCCTAAAAGATATGCAAGGCCCCCCTAGGAGGGGCTTTCGGTGGGAAAAGAACCAAGGTTTTTTTTGTGAAATTATGGGAAGAGTAGGAAAGGGTGAGCAGAACACAATGAAATAAATCATTAAGACAAAGGGAGAAAATCCTTGAGTTCATTTGTATCTCATAATGTTTGTGATGCTCACACTCACTCACACACACACACACAACACACACCCTTCTTCTTCAAACCACATCTCATCTTCATTTGCAACCACACAGGTCAATGAGCATCCAATGGGAATCAAACGAACAAATCTCCCATACAAAGGAAAATGAGATGAATTTCTCCCCCTTCATTTGAGCGCCTGCTTAACCATCCCTTCTCTCCTTTGTCATAGCCCAGCATTTTTTTTGTTTCCATCATTCCGGATTGTCTTTATCATTACCCCTCCCCCTGACATGCACACACAAATGTCAATGCTTCAATTCTCTTCACCCTCACCAAACACCTTAAGCGCAAAAGTGGGGAATAGAAGGTTGAATTTATCGTTATTTCCCCTCCCCTCCCTTCCGTTTTTGTTGAATCCGTAAATTTTTCCTTTCTTTTTCTTGAATTAAAAAGCAAAGAATATATATATTGGGGTCACCGTTCCTGCGCGTAGTTGGCTCGGGCGACTGAACGATGGAACACGTTACACAATTAAGTTAACAAAGAACGGAGTCAACCTCACGCCAACTTTGATTGTCACAACCGGTTTGGAGTGGTGGTAAGAGGCCACTGGTAACCGGCCGCGTCACTAAATTTATATCCGAATGACGACGTGAAATCGTCAAGGACAGACGGGCCGCGAGAACCTTAAAAAGGAGGAAATCGAGTTAGCTGTCAGGCAAGGCGAAAAAGAAAGGAGGGCAAGAATGGAGAAGTGAAGGAAATTGGGGTTCTATTTAGAGAAGCTAACCATAGGGGTACTCCATTGGCGTGATTTCCGTGTTCTCATCTAGGTAGTGCAATAGTGGAGTGAAGATTCTCCAGCTGGCATCCAATTCATCGTCTCTGACGAAATTGGAGTGGTCCCCTTTCAGGGCGTCTAGGATCAAAGATTCATATGCCTCGGGAATCTTCAGATCTGAGAACCTTCGCCGGTAAGTGAGATCAAGCTCTGTAACAACGGTTTGCATGGAAAGACCTGGGAGTTTTGAGTTCATCTTGATGTATACGGACTCGTTGGGCTGTACGCGAATTACAAGTTCATTTCGCGGGATGTCTTTAAAGATACCCGAGGTAACGTCGCGGAATTGTATGCGGATCTCAGTCTTTTGTTCGTTCAAAGCTGGAATATTAAAAAAACAATTAATATAAGAAGTATGTTCCAGGGTCTCGGACAGGAGGAGAACCAACCTTTACCCGCCTTCAGAATGAAGGGCACGCCGTCCCACCTCTCATTCTTAATGTACGCCACCATTGCGCAAAATGTTGCACATCTGGAATCTTTTGGCACTGTATCATCCTCCTTATATGCGGGTTTGCTTCCGTCGAGCGATTTTCCATATTGGCCAATGATGACGTTTTTTGGTTCGATCGCGTCAATTCCCCGCAGGACACGTACCTTCTCATCCCGAATATCTTCAGCGGAAAAGGAGATAGGCCGTTCCATTGCCAGCAGGGTTAGGACTTGAAGGAGGTCTAAAGCCAAGAATTAATATATAAAAATCCACGCAAATAGAGTGGGGATGCACGCGAACTAACGGTTCTGCATAACGTCGCGGATAATACCAAATTCATCGAAATATCCTCCTCTGCCCTCCGTACCAAATGGCTCTTTGAAAGTGATCTGATATGCGTCAGTCATTACGCGCTTCGAATGCACTGAGCGATCAAAGTAAATCGTACCTGAACATTATCGATATGATGGCGATTCCAAGTAGCCCCGAAGAATTCGTTACCAAATCGTAGAATCAGGATATTCTTCACCATCTCTTTCCCGAGGTAATGGTCGATCCGGAATATTTCCTCCTCTTTCCAGTTGGGTTCCAATGCGCGTTGTAATTCCCGCGAGCTTCCCAGATCCTTTCCAAACGGCTTCTCTACCTATTGAGCGAAGCCAATATTAGCGGTCCATCCAACACATCCAATTCAAGGGAAAAGTAGAAGGAAAACGCACGATAATTCTCGCAATTCCATTCTTGGGATAGCAGTTCTTTTTTAGGTGTTCAGAGACAGTTATGAAGACGCTGGGAGGAAGTGCCATATAAAAAACCCTATTCTGTTCTTTTTTCCCTTGCTCGAGCTCCTCCAAGTGCTTGTTTAAGACAACAAACGAATCGTCCTGGTCGTACTGTCCAGAAATATACGAGCAGATATCGCAGAATCCGGTAAGCTGATCCTCAACCTCTTTCGAGGGAACCTTGATATATGACCGTACTCTCCGGATGTATTCGGCACGATCCATCTTCGTTCGCGCATATCCAATGATCTTGATATCTTTCGGGAGGAACTTATTACGAAACTATAAACGGCGGTTAAATCATGGCCGTGGGTAATTCTTATATTTCAGGTCTATCCGCTTACCAGGCCAAAGAGGGCGGGGAACTACTATCTCGTCAGTATGAGCTGTGAGTCTGGCAAGTTCGAAACTCACGGTTTTCTTTTTCGCCAGGTCCCCCGATGCTCCAAGAACGACAATGACGGTGTCATCCTTCAGTTCGATCGAGCTAATGGGTCGGCAAAAAAAAAAAAAAAAAGAGAGAGAATTAGTAAAAACAAAGCCAGATCGGGCGCAAGTAAATATGAGCAATCAGCGAGCCAAAGGTTGAATGAAAAGATGATAGAAATAAGCATCGCCCATGGTTGGCTCTCCTTGCGAAGGTTGCAGAAGTCATGAGAGCCAATGCGTATCACCTCTTCCTCTTGTCTGATTTTGACGCTGGCTTTTGACGAGATAAGCTTTCCGGGCGGGCGAAGCCCCGCCCAGCCACAGAGATCACTTACGTAGCACCATGCCTGTCTGAAGCTTCTGTGAACGAGCTGGCCATTGTGCAATTGGGCCAGCAGGGTGGAAAGAGGCCAAGGAGGGAATTTTAGGGCCGGGGGTATCGTGGGGACTTCGAGTTCAAAAACTCGAAGAAAATGTTGGAGCGTAAGACGCGGAAACTGGGCAGAGAGGATCAAGATAAGCCGCAAGGTAGAAAATAAGCCAGATCAATATCAGGACTTGAGATGGACGAAGAACATGCGGATCCTTAAGAAGGCCGAGGGAGGAAGGGGAATGGAGTGGAAAATGGCGGAGGTGGAGTTGGGAGGAGGCGGGGAGAGATGATGCTGATTGATGACACAGCAACCTTCCAGCTCCTTGCGCAGAAATGGCCGACAGATCTGGTCCCCAAAAATGGTGAAAAATACTTGATAGTGGTGGGGCGTATGGCGGGGCTGGGCATTGGGTTTAACTAAAGAGTAAGGCATATAGGTTAGTGGCTGGCTTGGGTGCGCGGGCCACTGGGGCCAGCTTAATGACAGCGCCCGCCCGTTACATCAGCCTGGGTTCATCGCCATCTGAAGCGGGCGGAGGCGAACGGTGTCTCAGGGAGATCGGCTAAATCACTACTGCCGTTGCACTGCTGCACTCATTAACAGTCGTGATATTCTATGGTCCTTTAATTTCTGCATTCTTCTTTGTCCGCCCTGTACTATCTGTAGGGCCAATTGAGAGTATCCAGATTGAGAGTAGTAAGTACTGGACTGCCACTTCGATTTGGGGGCAAAGCAAAATGCTAACTAGCAACAGCCCAGATTTATTTGTAACAGGCCCTATCCTCGGCGCGGAGACGCATCGCATTCGCATCGCGTCCTAGCAGAAAATTAGTGGGAAAAAAATATCATACCTCATCCCCCGGGCGCAACGTCATGTATGGCAAATTTTTCTTCCAGGATAAACCCAAATTTTGCGCCGGTTGCTCACCCAATGTCTCCACTCCCGGGCAAGAAAAGAGGTCTCTTTCATGCAATCGCCAAACTTGCTCAAAGAAACAGTTACTCTTTACCCTCCCGAGTCTATTGCGCCATTTCCACCTCCAACGTTTGAAGTCAGCCCCTCTGCATACCGCAGTCTGAGGAAGCCATGTATTGCGTTTGAGTCCGCCCCGACAACACCGATATTCGCATTCGCTCATGCGATTGTGGGATAAAGTATATATATTTACGTTCGCCTTTCGCATCGGGGAAATTTTCTTCGTGCCTGCCAGAGTCATCATTCTTCCTCGGCCGACATGAGCTTACAATCAATCATTTTTCGAGAGCATTCAAGGCTAACGAGATATCAAATTGTTGGAGCGGGGTGACCAAAAAAAGAAAGAAAAAAAAAAAAAAAAGAGAAAAACTTCGCAAGGCCTCCCTTATAACCCTATTGGGCCGATTCTTTTTTTATGGAGCAGGGGAAAAAAAGACTTTGCAGATGGAAAGTTAAAGCTTGAATTCGCGAATCAACAAATAATGACCAGAAATCTTCAATCAGCTTCTTGCGAAACAGGTCCCTGCACTCCAAGTATGTAATCCCAATGCATAGGTAGTTGGTTACAGCATGCATGGGCTTCCGAACGGCCAAATTAGATATTTTAGATCGAAAGTAAATAATGTATGAAGCCACTCAAGAGTCAATGGTAGCTTTCACTGCGCAGCATATTATATTTATTATCCGAGCCTTGGTTCTTTAGGACCTTCCTCTGGCTTCAATAGTTAACCAGTATCAAATGTGTTAATATCAACTGCGGTCTTAACCCTTCCATCATCCCGGTTTCAGAGAGAATCTATATCGTTTTACACACTGCTTCAAATCATCCCCGAGGCTCCATTTGAACTGAATCCTCGGCCCGGTTTAACCGAAAATCGTTGTTCTTCTGCCCGGAGACATCTTCAGAAACGAATCACGCACGACATATGTTGATACGTTGCCATTGTATCAACCACCTCTTCTGTGCGCACATGGAAGAAAGGTATGTGGGGACTACTTCCCAAAAGACAAGTACCCGTGCTTTGCAAATCTTAGAAGCTATGAAGAGCCACTTGCAAAAATCCTCTTGCATTAACCTACGGGAAGTGGAGGAGACTAGCAGAAGTCAAAGGTAGCATACGGTCCCATCTGGCACGGGTCCCAGAACGAAAATCATATCCATGATCTCGGATAGAGCACACTGCCCAGGAGTGTATCAGAGACTCAGATGTTTCCGGTGTACTACTCCCATATCTGTATCAAATCAAAATAACAACACGGATAGACTTCATGAAGCCTGCAAAGAGTATATCATAATCTGATTCCACCTCCAGGCTTTCTAATGTAAGTTATAGCCTAGAGCCAATTTTTGGTCATAAATAGATGTGTGAGCCGAAAATAATGCTAGAGGTAGTGTGTTGAGCTCGAGTGCTGTTAGACTCAACCTTTAAAAAAACTTCATCATATCTAGGGCGTATGCCTCGTCGATGTCACGAACGTTCCTGAGGCCGGGATATACTAAGAAATTTGGGTTGACATGATGGGTGTCCCTTGCGTCTTCTAGTCAGTTCGAGGTAGGGCCCTCGTCTAGCGAATATGTGGCGCGGAAAAGTTTCAGGGATTCCACCGCAAGTTAGATACTGTATCTAGTAACAGAACGCACACAGGAAAAGCAACTATAACGAGCTGCCCGAGATTAAGTGTCTTAATGCCTTCCGAAAGCCAAAAAAAGTTGCTCAACTTGCTCTGCGACACGGTTTGCTCTGATTCGACACGTCGGATACACAACGCCACATATATGCGCTCGGATGTCTAACGTTAGGCGGGGGCAATGCACGCCCCATGCACCTGGGAAACGGAATGCTGGTATAATCGTGTTTCGGGAGTCTCAGGTAATTATCGTCACTCGCTTGCTGGCACCAGGGGAGGTTGGCCAAATGATGAATGAAGAGTTCTATCACCATGAAGCACACAGCAAAGGCGTAACTGATCCGTTCGATGGCTGTCATACAAATTTTGGCTGTCCTTAGGTCGATGCGGGCCAGCAATGAATGACTCACGACGAGCAGATCATAACCCTTCTGCCAGTAAGTTCAAACGATAGAGGAGCAGCTTAGGAACCATCCCGGTGACCATTCACAGCCCCCAAAAGATTCAAAACATTGTCGCTTGCACCCCGCACCGTGTACCGAGTTCCAGGGTTGAAATGCGGCATTTTAAGTAGCCTGGAAGCATTGCACCCTGGTTGTTCCATATGCGACGGGATAGAACTGAGGTTTGCGATTCAAGTCGAAAAAAAAAAAAAAAAAAAAAAAAAAAAATGGCCAGGGTGAGCTTGCTGTCGGATCCTCACAAGCGGGTTTACTGGTGGACAGTCATCGGAATTAAGAAGTGCGCCCTCAACACGGCCTCGGTTACCACCTGGGGTTTTCGGCCATCTATAGCCGATTGGCTGGGCGCGGGTAAAGTTTAGGTACTTTCAAAATCTCCCTGAACTCAAGAGCAAAGGATGATGAGGATGCTGATGAACGTTGGTTGGATAGAAACGACATTCTGTATAGAGTAAAAAAATCCTGCGAAGCGAGCGAATCGCTTTCTCACGTCATATTTTGCATGTCGATCTATACTCTCCCATCCAGCCACCGCATGGCACTCACGTGGGAGGCCACCAATAATGGTTCCAAGGTTTGCGGAACCCATCGCGTGGTTTGAAAAGGTTCTGTCTGATAAAGAAACCGAAACGCAGAAATTGACAGGCGCTTTGACCAGCATCCAGCGCGAGGATTGATCAGGATTCAGGAGTGCCGAACAAGAGCGAGCAGCTTGGAGGCTTTCTTTCATTTGGCCAGTTGTGAGCAAGGAGGTAGCGGAATCCTTTCCGTACCTAGATTTTTTTCGTTTCTTCTGTTTTTCTTTCGTCATCACCAATATGACGAAAGAGTCGGTGTGATTGCGTGAAGAAGAAAGCAGGGTTTAATAAATCTTGCCTGACACGGAGAAGCTGATGAGATTATCTGATTGATAATAAGATAGCTAGCCGGGTTAAGCTTCGAGGAGGCTTGGTTCCTTTCTCGAATCACCACGAGTATGGGGATAAGCCATGAAGTTTGAATCGGTGTTGACCAACTCTCCGGCTTAGCTCCTACTCGTAGGTTTTGTTAGCATCGTATTTACACTGGTGCATTCCGGAAACCGAGTTCCCGAGCACATTAGATCAATAAGCAAAAGCATCTAGAATTCTCAATATCTCTGCCGAGGTGGGAACCCCCCTCGCCCCCAATGTGTATGTGCGACTTTTTTCGCCTCTTTGACCAAAATATTATCGACCATTCCTGCGGTTAGTCTTTCGAAGTTTTTTTCATTTTCCTTTTTTCCCGTTTTCCTTATCGCGACATATCTGACATCCCTGTTATGCCTTTAGCGGGACAGGGGTTGTGTGTCATAAGTTGTTTCTCTTGCTTGATGTTCAGATATCTCTGTTGAAAAGTATTCTTCAAAAGCCGTCGATGGCCGTGGGCTCATTAAAAAAAAAAAAAACCGAAAAAGCAGAAAGCTGCTTTTTTGGGCTTCATATTTACTGTTCGTTGATATTGGCATATCCACACTATCCTCATAAACATCCTGTCTATAGTTATTAGTTAATTGACAAATCTCTCTGCGCACCAATCCCTAGAATTCTTGATATTTGATTGCCGTATATGATTTCTTGCAGAGGGAATATCGAAAGATATCTTTCCTTCCAGAGCAAATATGGGGGTTGCTGGAGAAGACTACACACCCGATAGCCCTGCCACGACACAGGCAGGCCACAGCCCGATCATGGAAAAGGAGTTCGATTGTGAAAAGCCTGCAGGAATTGGAGTGCTCGACACAAATGGAAGCCAGACGGGGGTCGCAAGCCTGGAGCAAGACGATACTGGATCAGACAGCCCGGCGACTCCAAGAACAGGGGGAAATGATATAACGACAGCTGTGGCAGATGATCGTCCGGCGCAAAGTGAGAAAATGACAAAGAAGCAGATAGCTGTGGTCATGTTTGCACTTTGTGTGAGTGAACTATAACCTTCCCCTTTGCTCGCATAAAGACCCGTTTTTCTGTATAGCTTGAATATAGATTGAAAATGGACATAGGCAAGCTGACGCATTTCCCGGTGTACATTAGCTCGCGTTATTCCTCGCAGCCCTTGATATGGTGAGCCATCATCTTCCCATTCTTCTAGACGTGTAGATGTTAACTTTGAAGCAGTCAATTATCGCCACGGCTCTGCCTACAATTGCTCGTCAGTTCAACACATCCGAAAGCGGCTATTCATGGATGGCTTCATCATACCTCCTCGGCAATGCTTCAGTCATTCCCCTTTGGGGAAAACTGAGTGATATCTGGGGCCGCAAGCCCATCATTGTCGTTGCAAACGTCTTGTTTTTACTTTCGAGTCTGATGTGTGCTCTGGCGCCGAATACAGCAATCCTGATTGCTGGAAGAGCCATTCAAGGAGTCGGTGGCGGCGGCCTGGTTTTGCTTGGACAGATTTGTGTGGGTGATTTGTTCAGCCAAAGGTACGTACGCATGCAATATATTCTCTCATTGATGGTTTTCTCCCCTCTTTTCTACTTTCCAATGCCCTTGTTTTCTCCTCATCTGGTTGTTATAAACATGAATAACACCCAAGTGCTAAACCGAGAAACTTTGGCCCTCAGAGAGCGTCCAGTATATTATGCAATGTTCGGAATGACGTGGGCTATCGCAGGCTCTCTTGGCCCCGTCGTGGGAGGCCTGTTTACCGAGAAGGTGACATGGAGATGGTGTTTCTATATCAACCGTCAGTTGCTCGCTCTATCCACATTGATGTTCCTTCAAGAACCTAACGCTTTGATTCCTCTACAGTCCCATTTGGCGGCCTCGCCCTCGTAACGCTTCTCATATGGCTCAAAATCGACACCCCCAAAACCTCACTGATCGCCGGCCTGAGTACAATTGACTGGCTGGGCACCATACTCATCATTGGTGGGACACTCATGTTCCTTTTTGGCCTCGAATTCGGCGGTATAACTCTGCCCTGGGATTCCCCAACCGTGATTTGTCTCCTGATTTTTGGCGCCATCACTCTGGGACTCTTCGTCCTAATCGAACGTAAAGTGGCCAAGTATCCCATCCTGCCAATGGCCCTGTTCGCAGACCGGAGCAACGTCTTCACCCTGTTATTGAACTGGTCGCACGCGTCCAACTTCATCGCCGGCGCATTCTTCCTCCCTCTCTACTTCCAAACGGTCCTCGGCACGTCCCCCATCATGAGTGGCGTCTATATTCTACCCCAAGTAGTCTCTCTATCCGTCGTTTCCTTCATCATCGGCTTTGCCATCCGCAAGACGGGCACATACGTCGAATTTATCCGATTGGGCATGTTTGTCATGACTCTGGGTACTGGCTTGTACATCGATTTCAAACCATACACATCCTGGCCAAGGTTGATTATATACCAAGCGATTGCTGGTAGTGGGACTGGCCCGAATTTCCAGGCTCCCCTCCTGGCTCTTCAGTCACGAGTTCCCCAATCGGAAGTATCAACGGCCACCTCAACGCATTCGTTTGTCAGACAGCTCTCGACCGCCACGTCTGTTGTGCTGGGCGGGGTGGTCTATCAAAATGTCCTCAAACAATCCGCGCCAAGGATATTGGCTGTACTCGGACCAGAACTCGCTAAGCAGTTTGTTGGAAATTTTTCCGGGGTGCGAGGGGAAAGCTTAGCCGCCATAACGCAGGCACAGCGAGATGTGCTGTTGGATGTATACAACGTCGCCTTTAGCCGCGTATGGATTTTTTACGCTGCCATTGGCGCCTTAGGTTGTGTATTCAGCCTTTTCATTAAGAAGAAGGAACTTAGTCGGGACCACGAAGTTACAAAAACTGGGCTGGAAGCGCAGGAGCACGCCAGACAGGCCCGGATCATGGCGAAGCGTGAGAGAAAGGAGAAGAAGCTGCAAGAGAAGACAGAGAATGAGAATATGAGTGGGAACGGGGTAATGAAGGAGACTGTTTAGTTGGTGATATTCCTGCGCATGGATCCACTTCCTTATCTGCCCCTCGAATCGAAATGTCATCTGTGTTGTTGCTGTATATAGATTTATACCCACCTTGGATTTTTTTCTCTGTCCCTCTCCAAAGTAGAATACGAATGTAGAGTTCCGTACTTTTAACTGGTGTTTAGCTGAACTCTAGGATGCAGTCCACCATTGCACATGAGTGTTCCTTTCAACATTTTGGAGCCAATATATTTTATTAAGTACAATAGCTGGAATATGGGATGGGAAGGACGGATAGCTCAGGAAGGACTGTAAATTTATATACAGCCATATGTTTATAACTTCGGGGTTCGGACAATCAGTTTTCCGGAAGTTTTGATATGGAGAGATGGAAATGGAGTAAAAGAGCTAATTGTTGGGGCCTCGAATTGAACGCCATTGCTTTTCCATAGTTACAAAAATCCAGACTCTTCTTATCCATAGAATCAAGGACTCATTGGGGAAATATCTAAATTTATCATTTTAAGGTTTTAATGAGGTTTGTATACATCATCTATACGTATGCAAGTCTCTTTAAGCACCTTTCTGTCTCTCCCGTTTACGCCCCTTTCTAAAATAGGAAATTCCATTCAATCATGGGTATGATATATAAAAGAACCAAAAAACATGTATAAAAATCCAAGAATTTGCATCGCCGGAAGAATCAAGTCACACTTCACAAGGTAATGTAAAAGATCCAGTTATTAGGCATGTAGATAATCACCATATATGCATTTAGTCTATGCATTAGTTCAAATTCAACCATGGGGTCTCACTCTCGAAGCCGTAAACATTCTACATCGTACGTTAGTATTCAGTAAAATAACAGGAAGCGCGGGGGGAGGGACTGTGTGAAGTCCAGTCGCAATCGCAAAACAAAAAGGGAGTATAAAATCTAACCGGTCAAAAACTCCTCAAAACCCAGCGTAATATACCCATCCCTATCATCGTCATACCGTTTAAACACATCCGTCATGCGCTTGAGGGTAATGCAGGCTTGCACAAACACATCAAAACTCATCCCGTCTTTCTGCCCGGGCATGGGTTTCCCTTTAACTCTCCCTCGACTCTCAAAAGTCGAAAATATCATCCCTACAAACGGTGGGCTAAGCGTATATCCAAACGCAATCAGAGCTTTGCTAAACTCCTGCAAGCTAATCCGGCCGCTATGGTCCTCATCGAAGCGCTCAAATAGTTCCCTCCAGGCTGCCAGGAAGCGCCACAAGGCAACGAACTCGTCGAACCCAACGCTACCAGACCCGTCCTTGTCAAACATGCGGACCATCATCTTTACCGTGTACGCGTCGAAAGAGGTATAGTCTGCATTTACTAAGGCGGATCCCAGTTCTATTTCTGACAGGGCGCCTGAGTTGGATGCATTGGCGGCACGGAAGAGGGGGAATAGTTCGTTTGGGTCGTCAGATTGGGGTATGCCAGGCCCCAAAGTTTGGGGACTTCGTGGCGGGCCGTAGGTTGGGGGAGGACGTTTCTGAGCTGGGTGAGCGGGAGGAGGCCCGAAGCCATAGTTTTGAGGAGGTGGGGAGTGGAGCCGACCAGTCATGTTGGGAACAGGGGCACCTCTTCGATGAGGCCCTGCAACAGCTTGTACTGCTCCAGGGGGGACGACTCCGGGGCCCCCACCACTACCTGCACGTGCGTAGCTATGTTGTGCTGGTATTTGTGAATGGTGTTCTGGATTCGGTGAAGGGGAGACGCGGCGCTGATGAGGTTGCGGGCCATTTTTTGGGGGCGGGAGCGGGGCGTGCTCTCGGCTTGGATCCTGTAGAGCGGCTCTTGCGCTTAAAATTTGTGCTGCCTAGTAAAAAAACATGTAGGTTAACGGCTAATTCAACGGACAAAAGAAGTCACCGGCAAACGTGGAATTGGAGAACCTTTCCCTGACCAGGAGTCATCTGTCAACGTACCTGCTCTGGCTCCGCATGCCTGTAGGTGGATCGCTGGTAATTAGTGTATGACCTCCATGCCAGGGGAGCGGAAAAGGAATGTAAAACTTGAGAACGTACGCCGGAAGTGCATCAGGATTATATGCGCCTTTGTATGCCATAGTGGTGTGTGTGTGATGTGGTCCTGAGCTGATAACCGGGAATACGACCTGAACCTTCAAATACTACCAACTGTGTGACGCTCGCGATATCAATAGCAAAAGAAGAACAAAACCTGTGGAGGCAGGTAGTTTATCCTGCAATCTCTCATAACAAATGGTGTGAAGTGGGAAAAAATGAAAGCCTGACGACGGGGATATGACGAGTTGATGAATCTGTCAAACTCACGCCTGAACCCCCTTGCCGGTGCCAAGGCGTTTTTTGGTTTCCTTGATTGAATAAAGCACAATACGAAGCCGGCTGAAATCTCGTTTCTTTCAAAACATCACTGGTTGCAAGGCGATCTTGGCTACCAATGTGGTTTGGGTTTTGCCAGAAATTGGCGCGAAAAATATCTCGATGTCTGGAGCCTCATTGCTTGGAACAAGGCGGGGAACATTGCGGTTGGGGGTCGCTTGGTCGGAAGGACGGGGCTTTACCTAAGCCCCTCAGCCCTAAGCCCTAGAGACGTTTGAATGCGAGATTTGAGGTTGAAGACATGAAATGACTGGGGAACAAGAAACAGCATTGGAACTGAAGTTTAGTTCCCAGTGTTATTGGTTTCTTTGCTTAAAGAGAGGCTCAATATGGAGCGGCATTTGTGGTGGAGGTTGACGGGCCGTGGTTAGTGATGGCTGGATCTCCCTCCATACAGCGATGAGTCGATGACATGCGATGATTCTTCCTTGTTTGTCCAGTGCAATGTGTCAGTTTCATCAATGCTTACCAAGGCAGTTTGTTGGCTCATTTTGTCGCAGGAAGAATAGAGAAGTGCATTATTGCGCAGATTAGTGATATAGGACACACTTTGGTCTGGGATTAGCGTGCAAAAGCTGCAAACATCTCGCCATTGCTGTATATCTGTTGATAATTACAAATGGGTATATAGAGCCCTCAGCATTACACTCCATTTTATCGGCAGCACTTTTTCTAGCTACTATTTTTCATTTCAGTGGGCACACACAGGTGGTGAAGATATCACCGGAGCGAGTCTAACTACCTCATAATGCCACATTCTGCTATACCCGCCCCTAGCTCCTGGAAGAGCCATTTCCCCAACGGGGATTTATGGGTTTTCGGCTACGGGTTTGTGCCATATTGCTGCAGTCCCAAATTGTTTTCATATTCCTCCGCTCTCCCTTATTTTTATTTTTATTTTTTTTTCCATTTGATTTGTTTTGGGATATCTTGGTTGCATTGCATCAAAGCTTGGACTTCTGATCATTAGTAATTTTTAGGAGTTTGATATGGAAACCGCCTCCACATTATGGTACGTTAAATATACTTGCTATGTATTACGACGAATGGCAGAGGAATCTATGCTTTTGGATATGAAGTCTACTTAATATAGCCTTGTTTGTGAGGATATCTTCTGTTGCTGATAATTCGGCCACGGGAGATATCCCTATTTTGCATCCCAAACTATAGTTGACTATAACTGGTGACCTCTACTAACAGTTTGCCTAGATCAACGTGTGCTCGGTTACATAGAAGGCTATGTTCGACGGTTCTGGCAGGTATGTGCTCTTTGTCTACTTGGAAAATTGGTAGCCATATGGTATATGCAGTATACCATTATTCGGTTCTCCTGTGGGATAGACAAGAGAGCCCAGACTGATATTGCTCTTTTGTGATATTTTTACTGTTCAAAGGCAAGGTATGGCTACATATTTGTTTCTATGCGGCGAACCTAATGAAAACCTTGATATCCAATACCTCGCTCCCCTGATATGAAAAATCTTCTTAGAGATCGGGAGTCCGTATCTCTAATTTTGATCTTTTTTTTATCTTGAAAACAGTGGAGATCACAGGGGAACCCCAGAATCACCCGGGAGGGTTGTCACTGTAATCGAACAATCATTCTGGAAAACGCTCTCAGATCCGGTTAGGGCTCTTTAAAAACCCCCCGCCCCTTATCAAGCGAATCTTATAATATATGCCCCCTTCTAACAATAACGACAGCAACGTGACCATAAACCAATCAACTCCAAACCCTCCACAGTTTGGGGGCGCAGCTTATCACATCCCCGCCTCCCACGCAGAGGAAGTCCATGCCTACCTGGACGATAGAGAAATAGACGGCTACACAGTCCACTTCACCCCCTTCTACGCTACACCATCTGCCACTACCACCACTAACGACAGCAGCAGTTCTACTGCTAACAATGTCACATCTCAAACATCCCCCATAACTTGCATGGTCTACATCGGTCTCCCCACAAACACACAATTTCTCCGCAACCCCGCAGACCGTGACCCTGACAACATCGCGCGCGTCATCAGCCAGAGCTGCGGCCAGAGCGGCGAGAATCGTGAGTATTTGTACTTATTAGAGAAAGCGCTGGAAGGCCCTGAGTTTGCTAGGGGAGTGAACGGGAATGGGGATGGGAATGGGAATGGAAGTGTTGCGGATAGCCATGTAGCTGATTTGGCGAGGAGGGTGCGGGCTATTGAGGGGAAGGAGATTAGTGAAGTGGATCGAAAGAGAAGTGAGATTGTGTTGGAGCATTTGCCTGGGCCGGAGCTGGGGAGGGAGGAGAGGCCGGTGCGGATGGAGGAGTTTGAGGGTGGGGATGTGGATTGTTCATAGGGAGGAAATGTTTGAGTTTGAGTTGTTGCACATGTTTTATTTCTAAAGGGATTCGTGTTTGGTCAGGTATAGAATTAGATCCTTTAGATAATGTGGAATTTTGTGTCGTGCGTTTTAGCTTTGGTCGTTGTGGAGAGGTGCGGTGGTATAAAGAATGCCCCGTTAGATATACTGTGCGCAAACAAGACTCTTGCACTTTTCATCCTTCGAATCCTATCTCTGATCATCTGAGCAATTCTCTCATCTTCTTTGTCAGACTCCAACGGCATATCCTCGGATGGGCGTCCTGCACAAGCATATTTTCATACGTAATCGAGGGGTTTATACTTACGTTCATCCATTATCGGCGGTGTGCGATGCCCATAAAAAAGTATAACACCATATGGTGGACATAGGGATTTATGGGACTGGAAAGGCGAAGAGAAGAAAAAATGTAAAACAGGAAACAGGACGAGGCTAAAGATTTGCCAGTCCCTTGGTCGGCGTGGAAATCATCGATACCTCGCATAAACTAACATTTTAAAAGAAAAGAGAAGGCTAGCTAGCATTTTATAGAGGACAGGATAGGACAGCGACAGGAACAGGACAGGGAAAAAATAGAACACAGGCATGTTTCTTTCCTAAGACCGTTCAATTTTTTCTTTTCTTTCTCTTTTGTTCTTTCTTACATTCTTTTTTTCCACGGGGATCAAAATTTCGACAGTTTCGATTCCACTTTCATCTCTTACAGCAAAAGGGAAAGGGGGAAAACAATGTAGCAGAAAAAAAAAGGATACCAAATTCAACGCAATGGGAATAAAGCAAAAAGCAGTTCGTGTGTTCTCAGGAGGCATAATCAGTCAAGTAGATGAAGGTAAAGATTAGACCGTGGAACGCGTCGTGCTGTGTTTAATTATTAAGATCGGAAAGAGTGGAAGCAAGGGTTTCGGAGAGTTAGGATGGAAGAAAATATAGATATGGAAACGGCAAAGGATCAGTTAGTCAGTCGTTGAGGAGGGAAAAGGCAAAAAAAAAAAAAAAAAAAAAAAATTAAATAAATAAATAAAAAAAAAGAAAGAAAGAAAGGGGGAGGGGAAGGGTTGCTCATGTGCAACTGACAAAACGCACGAGACAGCAATAGCGAGACAGGAAAAGACAAAAAAGGCACTTAATCAATCCTTCGAAAATATGAAATCCACCACCAGAGACCGATGGTTGTCATTACACTTCGGAAACATAACAAGCCAGGAGCTGCAAAACGAGTCTGGGCGATTTTAATAGTAACTACAACACAAATGGGAATTCGGATAGATTGGAAGGTAGAAGTCGTGTATCGCCGGTAAAGAGTACAAGAAAATGGAAAGGGAAAAAACATTTCGATGCCAATTACATGGTATAGAGCGGGATGAAGGAGCCTAGAGAAATAATTTAAATTAGAAGAATAACGAATCGAGGGGGACAAGGTCCCATAATATCCCGGGCTTTCTTTTAAATCCGTTTGGATCGGGGCTCATTGATTGGCTGTCTCCATGTTCTCGTACGTCTTTAATCGCCGACATTCTTAAAAAAAATTGAAAGTGGAAGGGATTTAGCGTGCGTGTGAGGTGCATCGCGGGGTAAAAGTGGTTTGTTTGACATTAACTCGAGAAAAGATTGCTGTCTCCGAATGCGTGCGCTTGATCGTCGATATCTATGCCCCAGCACCTCCCTGACCATGGGAGCTGCCATAAGATTGTTGTTGATGGCTACCCCAGCCTAGAGCGGAACAAGTCAGTATGTAGAGATGGAGTGAGAGGATAATATAAATAAACGGGAGGAAGTAGAAGAAATTTCAATTTAGATGATAAGCTTACCACCGCCTCCGCCACCTTGGCGATCGCCATACCCTCCACCTATGTTGGTTTTTGCGTTAGAAATTTATCAAAAGATATATTTTCAAACTCTTAAGGGAAAATGCTAGTAACTATTTACCATAGCCGCTACCGCCGCGGTAACCGCCTCCACCGCCGCCCTCGAAACGGTTATACCCGTTGCCACGCCCATGGTATCCACCTTCGTTGCGGGGAGCAGAGGAACGATCAGAGGCTTTGTCGACCCGGATGACACGGCCATCGAACCTGGTCGGGTCAATCTCAACGATGTTCATCGGTAACGAAGAAAGTAAACGTCGGGATTATATCCCCGACGTTTCCAGAATGGCTCCAACGTACTCCTGGTTGCTCATTGCGTTCATTGCGGCGTCTGCTTCCGCGTCGCTTGCAAAGCGGACGAAACCGAATCCACGACTGCGGTTGGTGTCACGGTCCTTGACAACAATCTACAGCGGGTAAGCAAAAATTCAATAATCAGCTCGACAACAAGAAAAAGAAATAGGAAAAGGGATAGGAAAATTCGGGAATAAACTGACAGCTTCCTCAATGGTGCCATACTTTTCAAACCCTGCACGCAGGGTGTCGTCGGTCGTATGCCACGCAAGGCCACTGCATCGCCGAATGCTGTGTTAGTTACATCCTCGCTAGTTAAATGAGGAAAAAAACACAACTGTAGATTAACGGACCCAATAAAAAGCTTGGACATTTCGGCGTCTAAATCAAAATTTGGACCTCTGCTGGTGTAGTTTTCTTGATATTTGTGGGGTCTAGTAGGCGACACAAAATGGTCCAAGGTCAGCGGGTTATTAGTAGAAGTTCAACAAGGACATTTCAGTAAAACTTAAGAAACAGCGGGGAAAAAGTATAAGACAACTGAGAAAGCCAATGGAGTAGGGAATGAAAAAGAAGCGCAGAGAATATGGCATCCCCGAACGCCTTATATGCCAGGGTTAGGCATGCACCCTGAAATTAACTGGCGGGGTTACAAACGGAAGTCGTGGGTGAAGAGAAAAGAGTGGAGTTTGAACACACTTATACACTACCCACCCTAAAGGGGTAACAACAAGATGTCAATAAAAATTAAGGATATGGATACGGTGATTGAAGAGAATAAACAACTCAGTATAATTGTAGGAACAGCTGGGGGGAAAGCATGGTAGGAGTGTAGCAAATTAGACAGGTGGTACACTAGGGGATAACAAAGATCACAAAGGGATCACAAGGAGTGCTAGGCTGTCGAAGATAGGAGAAAAGGAGGGGGAAAAAAGCAAAGATATGACTAAAGGAAATAGAGGGCTCCAACATTTGACTTAGACTAGAAGCCGATCAGATCGCAACAGAAAGTCGAGACCGCTGGCGATAGGATGGAGTCGGTGATGAAGGGGAAATGGGGAGAGGTTGGGAAGCGAAAGAGACGGGATAAAAAGGGTTCCAGACTCAGGCTGTGAAGACCTGGAGGGAAAAGATGGAGAATGGAGGGAGGGAGGGTGCTGGTGCTGGTGCTGATGACAGAGGATGGAGGATGAGAAAAAGAAGGGAAAAAAGTAGGAAGGGAACGACTGAGAGGAAGATAGGAGGGGGAGGAGGCTCAAAGGACAGCGCCAGTCAGCAAGAGGGCAGAGCTATTATTGCCGCTCCATTATATTGTGATTATTATTTTTATTATCCCTCCAAACCCCTAGCCATCTGTGCGATGCGGACAACAAGCGAAAATATTCTTCCGGACGTCCTCCGAGAAAATTGAGACAACCAACGACGGAAGCATAAACTGTCCGTGCCGTCCATAACTAGAAACTCGCGGAGATACAAACCCGGAAAAAAACTTTGTGTAGATATCTGCGCATCTAGTGGGCGGCCAAAGATAGCCAATAGCGGGTGTGTGGAATAGACATCTCAATTCAACCAATTCTCTTGTGGTAGAAGGCTAACCAAGGAGGTAGCTTGGAGATTCGATGTTATGGAGATGTTCATTCGCAACAGTGGTTGATCACCAAGGCACTAAAAGGAGCTGCGTATGCATTTTCAGGGCCTGACTTTGGTTCCCGTCGTTCGAGTTGAAACAGCATTATTCGTTCCCTGTGGGAAGCTTGAAAGCGGGGAATTCCAAAATTAGTGTGATGCAAGACCAGTGCCATCGTATGCCCAAGGCGTGCTCGCAGCCAAGCCTGCACATTGAATTGATTGGACTTGGGGCAGTTTAAAAGACTGCAATTTGGTCAGGGACAACCCTGAGTAAGAAGTGGACTGCGCCTTTGCTCCACGGAAAAATTGTTCAACCACCAAAGCAGCACCGGATCCATGGATTGGACAACCGCCAGCTCCACGAATTAGAATGGTACGGAACTGAGATACTCCCCAGAACCCCACTTGGATTGGCCGCACATTAGTCCTTTGGCAACCGTCGGCTGTTGGTCAAAATGGTCTAGGCGCATGATTTCGCTGGAGTGCAAGCTTGGTGTCAGTTGTACCACCCCCTTCGGGGAACTTTTTTCTTGGAAATGCTCTGTCCATATCCGTCAAAACCATCCTTCAACCTTCCTTGGGAAGGAAAGGGCACATTGCAAGAGAATCCCGCCAAGTTCACTACGGCCACATTAGCCGGACGTTGATCGATAATTTTTAGTAATTACTTTTGCAGTCGCAGATAAAGCAGTGGCAGGAGCCGTTCCCCGCTTGTTTCTGTCATTCGTTGTCCAAAAGAGCTTTCCATTTGGGATCCTCCGCATATGCAGCACACACCATTTCTTGCTAGACCTGGGGTATGCTTCACGTGCAATCGTTTTGGAAAGGTTTTCATACCACCATCTTTGATTTGCCCTGACGCTGGTGGTTGCACGTCTTATGTATGTGTACATGCAGCTTTTCAAATTTTTCCAGGCTATATCTCAGGATGCCTGTCGGGGCGGACCCTCAACCACGTAACCTTGAAGGTTCATTGTTTTGTTAGCAGAATCCCGAACCTAGGAATTCTGGATCTGAGTTGCATGATGACCTTGCCAATGGGAGGAATTATGCTGCACCTTTGTAAGGTGCCGTCTGGACGCTGATGGTGATAATGTTCCACTTGATTCCACTTCGACTGAGACGTAACGATCTCCGATTGCGAAAGATGACAGTTTTGTTCCAACTAGAGATGTAAGGAGTAGGGTTCATATAATATATATTGGGGTTGCGATCA